TATAATATTAATGGCAAACTAGTATAAAATTCTAGTTTATTTTTAGATCAATTCAAAACACCGAGAAATTTTATCGTTATCAGCTATTTATTTGTTACACAAGCTGATTGCGGGGGAAACCACGCATCAGGCGGAATTATATAAAAAATTTGGCCGAAAAAGTGCTTGTGACACAACCAGAATTGGAAATTGAAAATTATCAAACTCGCGAATAATAATGTCTAACTCTCTTTGCCACAGTCGTGAATTCCTGATTGACGATAAGCCTATCGAGAAACCTTTGTGAATTAAATAAAAAAAGCCTGTTAATTTTCTTGTTTGTACATTAAAAGTAATTTATGTCATTGTTGAATAAATTTCGGTTGACATGTTATTTTAGCAACTTGAACTTATTCAATAATTTGTGCACGATATACTGTACGTGTATATGGTTTGATGCATGTATTCAGTTAACTAATAATGTATCAAATTGTACGTCGTATGTAAAACAAACAGCTGAATTGGAAACAATCGGCAAATTTCAAAAAATGTGGGTCACGCAACAAATAAATTTGGTTTAGCGGCTCATTCTCTTAGTATGTTTGTTTTTCTTGAGAGCATTGTACATACAGTACATACATTTTGTTTGCAGTGTCATTGGGCCATGCAAACCATAAGTAGAAGTTTGACCAACAAATCTCTTCTCTCATATGTGAGAAAATACCAGAAAAGTGGTACCGCTGCGTATCACACAATACACAAAACGCTCTGCATGTGGGTAACAATCAACCGCGACGAGATGACACAATCGAACGAAGTCCATCATGTTAATCACGACACTTTGGATTGCAAACTGGTCATAATCGATGATACACTTTCGCGATTGCTTAGCAGTCGCACAATTCATTCCTCGAGGTAAGTTTATGCATGAAGCAGTAGCTGAGCTTCGTTACACTTGAATTAATTCATAACACCCAATTCAATCCTCTGGTTGGTTACTGTACAGTATAAAGTGCAGAGTGGTATTACAATGATGCAGATTTATCTTATTCAAGAATCAATGATATTAGAGGTGAAATTTTTTAAAATAAATTAATCCAAAACTTTCGTTGATACTTATTACGCATTTACTAGAAATATGGTAATTTTAAAATTTTCAAAATGTATAAGTCTGTGGACACTTGTTTAATTAAGTATTGATTGTTTTATAAAAATATATTATCTTAATAAAATTGGATTGCACATATAAATTATTAAATTATAATATATTACATTATATTTGAATTACAATCCTAAATTATTATCAAGTATATAATTAATTTTAATAATCGACTTATCAAAAAAATTAATTTATTAAAAAAATAGGATTTATTGATCCTTTATTAGCAATAATACAAGAATTAATTTGGAATATTATATTTTTTTCAATTAATTTTTGATGATATTCAGTTGATATTTTTTTTTCCAAACATTTAACATACTTCATTTTTACAAACTAATAATATAATTTTGTTTCAAAATTTTTAGAAAATTTAAATTTAAACTTTAAGCTGATCAAGAAAATATTTTAATGTTATTTTTTTATGAATTTTTTTTTTTTTACAACTTTAAAATAATAGAAACTAATTAGTATTATTTCTTTGAAAAATTATATAATATTTTTAAAATATGTTAATACATTAAATGTTAATTACAAATTTTTTTAAAAAAACTATTGTACATAAATTATTTATAAAAAATATTTCAAAACATATAATTAAAAACTATATTTAACAATTTCTAATAAATATTTAAGTTCAAATTTTTTTATATGTTTTATTGATTAATATAATATTAATAAAATAAAATAAATCTTTTTTAAAATAGATAAACATTATTTCTTTATTTATAAGATATACAATATGAAATAAAAAAAATCACATAAAATTAAATTTTTATTTTTATTAATAATTTAACAATTAATTGATTTTTTTTTATAGTAAAATAGGTATTAGATACCAATTGTTTATTAATATATATAGATATCTTGATTATATCAAACATTATCTATAATGTTAAACTATAACTAAATATTAATCTATCCTATTTTATTATCTCAACAATACTAATAATACTCTTAAAGCAGGTTTATATTTTTTGGAAAAAATCTATTTAGAGAAATAAAAGCTTTACCACTAGTTTAAATTACTCTAATCCATTAATTTAACTATTTTAAAGAAATAATAGATGTTTATAAAATTCATATTAGTATTTAATAAATTATTTTTTTACTTTATATCTTTAGTTTATATAACTGTCACTGAATCCAACATATATATATACTTCTTAGTAAATGCTTCAAAAACTATAATTCTTGATTGGCACAAATTATTAAATCTAAAGATATAAATATCAAATAAAATATAATTCTATAATTTTTTAATAAATATTCCAAGGAAATTTAATAAATTTAAGCTATCAAATTTAAAGATATAAATGTTAAGTAAAGTATAACTTATATATATCATAAGTAATATTGGACTTGTTACTTATATATACAATAATACAGTTATCCTCCTATATAATCATTAAGGATCCTAACAATTCTGTGTTCAATTCCATTCGATTCCAGCTCTTATAGTAAATTTAATAGGTGGGTTATAACCCATTTATGTTTTTTATATGTATGCGAGTCCATGCGAGTCTATGCGATTCCAATTTTCGGGACCATAATAATCATCTCCCATATAATCACAAATTCTATATAATCATATAATTTTGTGTACCCGATTTTTTATTAATTAAAATATTTCTATATAGTTACAATTGTTTTATAATCACTATCACACTTTAGAGCAATAGAAAAAAAATTTTAATTAGCATTTATCCCTCTATATAATCACAAAGTCATATGATATACTGTATATAATATAAATTATATAATTGTTTAACTAGTAGAATAAAAATTACTAGTATTAAAATGATTGTATTATTTATTTAATCACCAATCAAAATTTTTTTTTATATATAATAATTCAGTATTATTTATTGATCATTTGTTAAAAAAAATTTCTTTGCTATTATGTCTATTCAACCTCTGATCAAAAGAGCATGTATAGCAATTAGTAATAATTTCAAAAATATGATTTGTCAATATTCTTTGACAAATCAAAATCAAATACACCAGCAAATTGCTGAATATTTTAATAATTGTGAGGGTCTTTCAAAGTTCTCTTCAATACTAAAGTTTTTAAGGCTGAGGCGTAATAATTTGGTCCGAGTATCCTGCTCTTCTACTAA